CATTATAATGAAAGAACAAAACGTCAGCTCAGTTTTCGATATTTGTTTCGTTTGAATCCCTTTTGGTTGTGGGCATAAGGTCTTTATTCATCAGCTCCGAAGATATATCGTAAATACTTAAAGGACTGGATGAAGATATGATTACCTTCCTCTCTGTGGCTGTTGCAAATTGTCAGCAGTTTTCTGGAGCAAAAGCTGTATTCTCTTTCCTATTTTCTTAGTGGAGGCTACGACAATTCAAAATATTGCTTCAATAGTATCTGTGAATTGCTAGAAGCCGGTAAAGACAGTCGTATTACCAAATCGTAACTGTCGTAAAGAAGCAGCCCATAGTGTGTGTTTACGATTTACAGCCCACAACACTCCCCTGAAGCGTCAAGCTACATGTATGCATCAGCCGAATTGATCTTTGCAGAAATTCTCCCACCTTTTAGGGTGTATAAAACGTCATCTGGAACCGGAAGCTGATAAGGTTCTGCTCTTTAGCCACACTCAGACATGTCAGTAAATCCTCACAAATACCGGTGTACCAATTCGTTTTCTTATGAGCCGAATTGAGGGCTGCCGACAGTGAGTAGCTTACGGAATTTATAGTCCATACATCGGATCGTTTAAGCTCATGTTCCACGATCTGTTGTGGACGTAAGGCGCAAGCATTACAATTGGTCGCTAAGGCAGAACTGCTTTCATAATAGTGTGACGCCCCAAGTCTGACTGCAAAATTGTCCTGAACTCTTATGTTAATCGCTTCACCTGTTACATATACTATTTAAGGGGATTTTCACGAGTTGTAATTTTCACATCTAGGCGAACTTCAACAAATCCAGGTCTTGATTATTCACAAAATGTGTTGTGATAAAATGAGTCTTGTGGAAACCACCACTGCAATCGAACTGTCGATTTAAGTTCTATTCTCCCTTGCAAGCAACGACTGTGATCTGATTTATCTTCTCCGTAGTAAAGCATACCAAATCTTGTCCTAGCCTCTTAAACAATATCGTTACATTGGATGTCATGTCGATTTGAAGACATACCAGCTGAGATTAGACCGTCACATAAGTGAATTTATGTGTTGTAAAGGTGCTGGTGCAACAGGCAGGTATAATACTCAGTCAAAGTATCCTCATCTTACACTTCAAAATAGTGGTGGACTATCTATCATATCAAAATTTTGGTATCTCTGCTGGTAGTATTCTTGCCGTCTGTATACCATTCTTGGTGACAACAGTTATTTTACACAACTGTTTCACTTTAAGTTTGTTCAGTATTATGATAGTAAATATTCTGCCTAAGCCCAATATTCTAAATTTGTCCAGAATGAAGTCAGCTGGTTTCTGCATGTTGCGGCTGACTTTAAGACCAGTGAAAATCAGGGGTGCATAACACTCGGAGCTCTATTCATGTTATTTCTTCATACCTTTGACTCCTAAGCCTAGCTTTCATGATATCTACAGTTTTTAGCAAGACGCATCTGGAACGTAAAGGAAACTGATACGTACCTGGGAGATTCAAGTCCAGATTATCCAGTGTTAGGATTTACTGACTCGATCTACACCAATCACTGAACATGATTTGACGTTGCATAGTTAAACGAAGTTACTTACTTAGCTCAGTGATCAAACTGAATAACTTGATTAAGGGTTAGACATACAATATTTGTTACTCCCTAGTCATCAGACACTGTGTTAACTTGTATTTTCCACTAATCATCTGTTCAATTTATTGTATTAATCCAGGTGATATTTGCTGTGAGTTGATTTGCTCAAAGTATACACATTAAAAGGAATCAGTGTTTCATACAGTAACTAAGATAAAAAGTGAAACTCAGAATTGAAATAATATATATCACTCAATTTAAAAAAACTGCAGATTAACATAACACGAGTATATAGTAAATTTGTTTACTCAAACTTAAAAATATCGTTTGAAGACACTTCAAATTTAAACGGACTCACTAATTATGCTCTGTAGTCCTTAAATTATCCAGGGATTTTTGAATTTATTTATTTTTCAGCCTTGGAAAATTTTAAGTGAGCACTAAATATGTATGCACTATCACTTAATACTTTGTTGCCTTATTTCTCTAACCATACTATTCTAGTGGTTCATGAAAACATGCACTGCAGTACCAGACATATGATGGTGAGAACAACCAGTAGCATCATTTGTTTGAGGCGTTCAGTTGGATGGCATGATTACGGAAATAACCAATTAATGTCAGTATTTCTGTTTGTTCATCATATAATGCGTCACTTATTTCAAATTTCAGCCCAACGTTTTTCCAATTATTGTAAGTATTGCACATATCCTTTAACCTATAAAAGTTATAATTTTCAGGAATGTTTTGTGCATTTTGAGCATTGGTACTTTTGTGTGAAAGTTTCATCATACGGCTTGTTGACATCTTCAAGATCAACTCACAAGTTTCATGAATATTCCGGTTTCATTTTGTCTATGTAGTACATTGAAAATTATCGTACCTATTCTCAATCAATAATCGTCTGTACTATTTCACATTGGTATAACTGGATTAGTGAGGCTAAATGGGAATATATTCACAATTAGACCGTATGTATTCCTCCTTGCAATCATCAATCCCTATTAATAAATTGACTGGACATTTAATGTTGACAGTTTACTTTAATTCATATTCATTGAATCCCAACTGATTTACTTTTGGAATTTAGCAAAATTTTCCTTCAGGATCTGTAAGTTTAAGTTGATTTCAAGATCCACTTCTTTTAGTAAACATGAGATTGCAATAATTTATTTGAATGAAAAAAATTAAAGAGGAATAATGTGACAGAAGATTACTGAGACATGTCATCCATTGGTACCAATGCCAATCAGTATAATTTCATTGAAAGCGTTTGCCTTAATTATGCACGTCCCGTTGCATATAACATTTTTGTCTCTGGTAAAATACACGTTTCTCACAGCCCATGGCTTTTACACACACGTCAAGCATAGTACAAGTATAAGTCCATGTTTGGTCAAAACAAATCATTTGAAATATATTTTCATAAGGCCTGTTGAAGAAACAGCTGAATTTCAGTGATTTTAGAAGTCTACTCAAATAGTTGGAGACACGTAAATGGAATAAAACTTTCAAGAGAACAAAGGAATGATGTTGCATCAGACCTTTTTGATTTTCACACAAAAATCAACTTTCAACAAGGAGATCATTTCAGGATAAAAGTAGACTCCAGACTGTATCAAATTTACCCCATTTTATTCATAACACAGATCATCTAGTATTAAGAAACGAGTAATTTTTACGTACTAAACGTAATTTTATAATATTGAAAAAGTCAATGTCTATCAGTTTTCATACTGTTTAATCCACCTATGCGATTTTACAATGCACAGTATGAAAATTATTTATTTTCAAACATTCTGTTTGTATCAGGTTCAGACTCTTACAAACATTGTTAGTTGATATTTCTAAAGTAAATTTATCTTATGTTCTGAATTTTTCAAGTGTTGGTTTGGAGGGATCTGATTGATTTGAAGATTGGTCACTAGCTGGCTTCAGTTAGAGAACTACTTAAAACTGGAGAGTACGGCACATTTTTTCCCTCAAATTTCAGGACACTTCACCAATATGCTGCCATCACCCCACTGACAAGTATTGGTTACAAAGTAATCTCGTATACGACCAAATTAAATGGAAGAAATCCTCTGGCCCATGAATTCTAGCTTCCAACAGTTTGTGATATATAGCGCGACAGTTATTCAGTGTCCTCCATTGATCTTGATGAACCTTATTGGTCACGGTTTCCCCCTAGAAATTCAGGCAACCTCATGTTATAGTGAGCAATAGCTGAAGTTTCGAGTGTTGACTTGAAGGGATTTGAATAATTTCAAAAATAATCACGAATTGAATTGATAGATTTGTTCGCTTTTTGGAAACATTTGTCAGCCTTAGTAAATTGAACGACTTGCTGTGTTACAGCTAAAACACAAATATAAATTAAAGTTTCTTTTTCGAAGAAAGTATGGAAAAAACCTCAAACCTTTATTGATTCGGTGACATCTGGGACAAGCCGTCGAGTGTATCCCTAATTAGGAAAGGATGAGTTGAGCATGGGACAAGGGTGACATGGAGGAGGTTATGTGAGGATGAGATGTGAGTTTATGGGTCATCAAAGAGTCAGTTAGTTAAGGTTGGCCATAGTGAAATTGCTGAAATGGAAATATGTTGTTGTGGCCTTACGTTCCACTCTGAACCCAATGAGGATAATAATAATGTATGGCGTTGACAATGACTCATTTACTTATGTCCGCAACAAATTAATTAAGACAATTCATGAGTCACCAGTATAATAATATAATAGTATCTACCTGGTTTGACCACTTTAGTTTATTTCAGTGTAGTGATATCACATAGCAGTTCATCATACTTATGGCTTTTTTAGAGCAGTGAAGCTCAGTTCACAGTATTCACTTACTGACGTGTATCTCATGTAACTCCCCATCTACAAATTTGTATCTAGTGGAATTCATTGGTTTATTAATTCATTATGCTTTCTTGAAATACTTCCATATAGGTGTGACTTGTATGTTTATGTTTTTTAATGTTCTCCGTCTACTACATGGCCTTTGTAATATAATAACTTTAATAAAAATATGTGAATGGTTAGAATACTTAACTGTTCACTTCTCCTCAAGAATTATTATCTGGCTGCATGTCAGAGACGTTGTGTTCCACATCCCTTAGCTTGACAGTAACATGGATGATTTTTACTGAACAAGAATGTGCATCAATTTCATGCTTGTAAGCAACAAATTTCGGAAAGGATCTTCTAACTGGTTAGGAATGAAGTTGGGCTGAATGAATGATGCCTCTGCAGTCTGAAAGAAGAACCAAACCGAGCACTGCACGTATGCCAATATTAGCTCATCCAAATTATCGGAATCTTGAGAATAGATTACAAATGAGAGCCTTGATTCATGCTTTTATGCAATGAGTTTGTTTGAGTCATGTTACACATACATTAATGCTGACTGTATATAAGTTTAGCCATGAGTAATTCATGAATACATCAATGTTTTACTTCTGTTAGACCCGTCAAAACCGATGTGTAAGTTACAGTATGAATAAAAAAGCATAGTACATATTTGTTACATCGTATGGACATTAAAATATCTGAGAGTGATAAATATGACAGCTAAAGGTTACTGTAAAAGTAGATAATACCACAGTGAAGTGAATGAATTCTTTCAAATGTCGGCGTTTGAATGTAGATTTTGATTTTTCTTAATGTTTCTTTCCATGATTGAATACAACTTGTGTTTACTTTTCTTTTTAGTCAGAACACGCTGAATTTAATGTGAGAATATCTCAAACTACTTTTGTTTAACTCTCTTCGTCCAAAGTATGACTCTTCACAGTTTGAAACAAAGGGTACTGGAGTGTAATTTCAGTGGGAACATCATTATTCACTGAGAACTTCAGGCACATCCAACTGAAGAGTCTTACAAAGAACAAAATGTATATTTCAGACTCCACTGTTAGTTGTCACCCTCCAAAATATTTACTGAAACTCTTTCTGAATGAAATTCAGTTGACTGCGTTCGAGTATACTACTGAAATTAAAATGTTTAACTACTAAATCCAAAATTATAATTGGACAGTGTGTTAAAAGAAGGAATATTCCCTTCCCAGTGAAATCCGACCAGACTGCATTATAGAATACCTCCATTCAATGAATACTAACATATACACAGTCATTTCACAGTTTCCTCGACTTTTTGAAAAGAATTCCATAACCACTTCTTTATTGTCTGATATATTTTGTCTCTCCATATATCTACAATTATATAGAAGTGATGATTTTTTGAGCACAACTGCATACTACTGATTGATAGACATGAGTAGATATGTGCCACACATACGAATCACTAGTGCTTGCTAACCAGCCAGACTGAAGCAATCTGAACACCAGACAGTCGCTTCGCTCGTTTTTAGTCGAGCTCATCAGTGTTATACTTGGTTTTACTCAGTTTTAAGAGCCTAATCAGTCTGAGACTATTGAAAAAATCAAGAATTTATCCTCATTGAATATTGAGGAAATTAAAAGTGTCACACTCTAGTGGTGATAAAGAATCAGGCTTTCCGTGAAACTATGAATTTGTAGAATTCCTATCTCATAGATCCGTTTTCTCCTAAGGAAATTACAAAATTGTTTGACTGCCTGCGGACACTACAACTTTAACCGGACTGTTCACACATGTGTGTTTTTAGTGAATCGGTCAGAAATAATTGGCAAAGTATACTTGTTATTATTTTCTAGTTTGTTACAGGGAAAAGAGGAGTTGTCAAAATGATTTATCGAAAGGTTCTGATCAGTAACATTACACCATGAGCTGTGATAAATTATAATGGCCAGATTTATTTTCCATTGAGACAATTTTCTTAATTTAAATACCTTCACTTGTATATGGACATAAAAGTTCAGATATATGTATGATTCTTGGAAAGACATAATAGATTCATCATGTGTCGATAAATTCCCTTTAATATCACAATGTACAGTTGCTTTTTTTAATTGGATTTGTTAAAATTGTCGTTTATCTGAACACTTGAGTTGCGTATTTGGTTCAATGAGAGGATGAAATATACTCACAGAATTAGGTTGAATATATGAATACATCTGACATATGTAGTCAGTGATTGTGCCGTGTATTTCTCATATTTACTTGCAGGTTTATGCAGGCAGGATGCTTGTAAGTTTCCAGAAACCTGTTAGTAAATCGTCTTTATCATATCTGAATTTACTCGATTTGAATTTGTCAAAGAGAAATAATCATTCCCAAGTTTTGCTTCACCTGTATAAATTTCAAGAGAATATTAGGGAATCAAGGTTGCCTAATTCTCTCTATTTTGGACAAGTCAGCTTGATACACTTTTGATCCACATCTGACAAGTCCTAAACAAGAGGACATGTGCATCCTGAGTTCCACTGCTAATCACCATCCGACTTATAAGATCATGGTAATTCTCAGACGTTATGTATGCTCTCATACTACGTGCCGAGACGTCAACAGAGACTGAATATTTTTCCGCAATACAATCAGTCAACAAATAATGTTCTGATTCAGTATTCTGCGTTATTACCACCCAACTCAAAAACTGTTTGCCTTGTATCTGCTTGAAGGAGACATATGGCTAAGTTTTTGTAAGTGACAAATTTTCCAGTATGTAATGTTAACATATCAGACGGATTACATGTTAAATAAACTTGATGACCCGATAATAAAAGTTATATGTATGAAAGCTGTCAAGGAGAGAAGTGTCATAATAACTTACCCCCTTAGCCTTTAATAATTTTGTAGTTGAAAGATTTTTCAAATGATATTCACAATCTAAAAATGTATTTGAAACCATTCCTGTGTGTTGAGCAAAGTCAAATAACATTTTGTTCGGAAGGGTTCGCTGTGTAACTCACAATTTCTCCAAGCGAAATTACTTGGATTTCATCAAACATCAAAACATGCATGTGCAAAGTCAAATATTCCATTTGTTAAAGTACACCTATCTGATGAACACTTATGGATAAATATTCCTTTGAAGTGAGCAAATATGATTAGTCATCATATAGTTGTGTTTCTAGACTGGCTGGGAAGATTTTCATTAATTGCACAAACCATTCAGTCTGGTTAGGTGCTCAAAGTATTCGAGGGGATTTGCAATATCTTTAGTCTGGATGGATATTTTCTTTTATAGTTTTTACATTTGTTTTACTAATGTATGTCTTTCACTGCTTCATATTTTAGGCATTACGGAGATGATATAACCAGGTGAGTTAGCAGATGACCGTGAAATCCATGTATTTTCGAATGAACACTAATTTCGAGTGTGGGACAAATTTATTTGATAAAGTCACACAGTGTTATTCGCTCACGACGTTTTTGGGCACAATTTATTCCACATAGTCATCATATCAAGACACTCACACAGCTTTCCAACTTCATTGCTATACTTCCATTATTTTTTTATCCTTTGAGTTGACTGATAGTAATATTTTGGTGTTTGTAATGAGTCATTGTGCGAGTATGTAGGTTTAAATGCCACCCAATTTCCTGCTTTATTAGGAATTCCGCCTAGTGTCTCATATGTCTTTCTCCAATAAGGTAAAAGTGTAGATGCCTTAAATACCTTCTTATTTATATTATTTCTTTTAGTTTCTCTACTATTTTTCTTTCTCTTGTGAGCTTCTGTAATCTTCTTAATGAATTTCACGGGATAGGTATTTAACATCAACGCTTCTTCAGTCTGTCTCATTCCATCATTTAGGTATTTTGTTGTACTACTTAGTGTTATCGCTTATTATGTAAAGCATTTAACTAAACATGCCTTCACAGCTAACCAGTGAGATAAATTAAAGTCTAAATGTCTATTAGGAATAGTTGGCTTTTTGTAAACTTCGAGGCATAGTTTACCCTCCTCTGTTCATTTTATTTTACAGTTTAACACACCTAATTCTCCTTGTTAATTTTCTAATTATAATGTAAATTTTATTCTCTCTGCTTGTGAGCTTTTATGTGTAAAGGAACTTTGGATGCATTCTGCTGTAAACACTGTGAAAGTGTCATCCACACTGAATAGGAGTAACTCATCACTCATACCAGAGATATGGGAAATATCGCTACCAATCAGATCAAAGGAAAAGACATCATGGAATTTCAGGAATGAAGTTGGATGGTTGTGGGAGTGTCCTGAGATGATTAGTACGAATAATGAACTGTGCTCAACACGTAATCAGTAAATAATAAATATACATTACTGTGTGATTTTAATTGAAATGAATTCAATCTGTGATGGAGTTATACTCTACCACAGTGCCCCTAGTTCTGTTTTTATATCAGTGCTTCCTTGCAGCCAAAATGAATTATTCTATGCAAAACTGTTATAAATGTGAATTGCTTCAAAGTTTGGCAGTCACTAATGACAAAATATTCCTTTCAAAATCATAGAGCCAGCTACCTGGATATTGCGTGAGTGAATACTAATCTTATGTTAAACAGAAGTTTCATGTGTTTGTCTGCATTACGCGCGACATTTTCTATTCACTTAGAATCGTGAATTCATGTAGAAAACGGATTGGTGTTTTCTGTTTATATTTATTTGGGGAGGCAACAATGTCATGTGATAACAAATGGAGTGCATTTTACCATCCTTACTTGATGTTAGCAATAATATTCTCCTCAACGGATGTGTATTTTCCTAATATATATATATATATATATATATATATATATATATATATATATATGAGAAGACAGATCATTCATTTGACGCAGAGAATACTGTTGCTCAAAGTTTTAATTTCTTCACCATAATAATGTCATACCAGTACACAACAGTCTGTATTGATGGGACGTTTTATGGGTATGGTACCTTTAATCGAAATTATCGTTAATACACGTTCTGAATATTGTGCTTTTTTTCACCCTTTCATGTTTTTTACACGTTGTTTTACGAAGATCATCAACGGGAGGGATTTGAAAGAGGTTACTTCATTCACTTATCTAGGGAACATTGTCTCAACTACAGGAGGAACGGACGAGGATGTCAAATCGAGAATCGGGAAGGCGAGAAACACATTCATCAACCTGAAACCAATCTGGAAATCTTCGTCACTCAGCATCAACAACAAAATTAGGATTTTCAATACAAACGTCAAGTCAGTTCTTCTATACGGATCAGAAACTTGGCGGGTCACAAAGAATATTTCCAACAGCCTGTTGCAGACCTTTATCAACAACTGACTTCGCTCTATACTGAAGATCAGATGGCCGCCGGAAAGAATCACCAACAAGAAACTATGGGAACAAACAAAACAAGAACCAATCGCCCAACAAATATGCAGGAGAAAGTGGAGATGGATTGGACACTCACTGAGGAGGCCGCTGGGTGACATCGTGCGTCAGGTCAACGCTCGAGTGGAACCCGAAAGGGAAGCGGCGAGTGGGACATCCAAGGGTGACATGGAGGAGATCGTGTGAAGAGGAGTTGAAACAGTATGGACTAACATGGATGCAGGTGAAAAGTACAGCAGAAGACAGAAGCAAGTGGAGACGTGTAGTTGAAGCCCTATGTTCCACTAGGAACCCAAGGGAACAATAATAATAATAATTTACGAAGATCTCTCATTTTCTCCTCGTTGTCATTCAGTTTTCCCTTATGTGCAATACTTGACATAAGTACAGTCACTACTTACAAAATCTTAAAAGTAGCATTCACCATACGCGTATCGTAAAAATGTTATTTAGTACCAAAGTTAAGATAATGATTCTCAAATCACATAATTAATTTGTACCTGTTTTTCTTTGAATCCACATTATTGATAGAGTCACTTCACTGGCAAATATGTAAGCCGTTTATTGCTATTTATTTTATCTTATTTCTTTGCATTCCGAGTGGAACATATTGCTTCAGGCTTCAGCCTTAAATTATCATTACAGTGATTTTATTTTCACGGGATGTGGTTTCTAGCCTTACACTCAACCCATCCTCATTAGTGAGCTTACCACTACCGGTTGAGTGAGGTTTGTGAGAATATCAGCTGAGGAAAAACCTTTGACTACATGAGGGATCCACTGCTGAACTATCGACCATTTTTCACTAATAGAATTTAGATTTACATGAAGTTGAGAATTTTACTTAAAACTCACTCATTGAAGTGTGTGAGCAAATTTGCCTTATTTAAAGTCTTATTCTGACAAAATATATCGTTCAGATCTTGAGAAATTCGAAAGATATATCAGTGCAATATACTAAAGCGTTGGAATTGATATAATTTTGTTAATATTAAGTGTTTGCCAACAGGCGCGAATTAAGATACTTCAATCAAGAATGCAAGGAATAATCATAGGCCTTATCTAATGAAGTTTGATCAGTTATTGATGCTTTTTTAACATTTTTGAGTGAAACACTGATATGCATTTTTATCTTTAGACGCAAATTAGCAAAGATAGAGTAAGAAGTGACTCTTTTATGAAGTTTAAATGATCTTATTAGAAAAATCTCGTATTTTGTTTTGTCACTTACGAGGTAGTTTTGTTAAGTTGAGCAACTTGAAATCATCTTATCCATATCAGCAGATAATCTGTTTCCTCACCAAAAGTGTGCCAGTGATATCTTTGGTAATTTCATAAATTACAAATGGTATAGATAGATAGAATGATGTGTAAATCAGCAGAGCCGGCGTTTCTAAACCACGGGTATTTATGTAGCTATAAGGAGTTTCAATTTCTCCACAAACACATCCTGAGGAATTAGGATACATGATCTGTAGCATCAAAAATGATATAATCTGATTTCTGCAGGTTTACCTAGTTTCAGTTTCGACATCTTTACTGGTAGGTATGACTATGCTCAATCTAAGGCAAATAGAAGTAGTGTAACGCCAATATATGTTCATTTATTTTTGAATAAAAAAATAAAATTATTGTGACAGTCACAATTCCAATGAAATAACGACATTTAAACTTTAGTTTGAGCACCGAGTACTTGAATCCCATCACTGATTTATTTCCACTGAACATATGATTGAGTATTTATATGTTTAACGGAGACCTTTGATGACTATAATGAAATGGAAACCATTCCATATAAGATTCTGAATAGTGTATGATGAAAAATATTTTTCTTTCCTTCACTCACGTTACCAAATAAATTTCATTGTATTTCTTCTTCTATATCAAAATAAGCAAAACTAAACAACCGTAAGAATATCAATATGAAGTTGTTCGCTTTACTTTTAACCCTAATGTGCAGTGAAAGACCAAAAATGATTTCCACCACCAGTTGAAGCAAACAGTGGTCATGTAATCCATTGAGATTACAATAGTTATCCAGTATGAGGAATAAATGCATTCAATTCATGTATAATCCCCATCCAAGCATTAATGAAAACAAAACACGTAGATCAGCGAAGAGTCTCTTTTCGGCGGTGAATTCATTTTCTTAGCTGTACAATCGCAAATATATATGTATGTGTTATTTTCTATGTATGTGTACATTAAGTTTATCAAACAAGAATAAAATTGGTCATAGTTGTTGAAACTAAACAGGTGAAGATTGGTAATTGGAGTTACATAATACAAAATTAGTCAAGAAAATTAGGTGTTAGTGAAATTAGGGTAGTAACAAAGGTGATAAGTTGTCACAATCAGTTGTTAAAAGAAGTTATGTATTAATATGAATAGTTTGATGAGTGAGTTTTACTCAGGATGCACATAGGAACAAAGTAGATAATATGAAATTACGTAAGAGTTCTAAATGAATACAAGAATTATAAGCAATTAAAGAACAGGCAAAGAAACAAAATTAAGTCACCAAAATCAAAAAAATCAAATCAAAAAGTTGTTACCAAGACAGTAGAAGTGGTTGAGTAATTCTCTTTTGTATGCACAGCTCCGGTTTTTCTATGTGAATGGCCAGAGCTTCAGCGATCCAAAGAAACGAAACCGTATTGCCTTTGATAGGTTATTCTTGACTTTGTAGATTACTTTGAAGGAGGCGTTTGTTGAAATGGAATGATCAGTGTTAACCAGGTGTTCAATTATCGCACTCCTTATTGCACCACTATTGCCTTTTCGCAACCATGCTGGATAGTGTTCTTGAATCCTCTTGGACAGTGTGCGCGTCGAACATTTGGCTACATGACTGAATACAAATAAAGGATCTACATTTTGAGCTTCTAATGAAATGTTTCTATGATCCACTGGTGTAACTGTATTTCACTGTTCATTCAATAAATTGATTTTTAAAGGGAAAAGAATAAGAAGTTCAGCAAAGATATCTTTTCAGCGATTTCATTCTCAGAAGCTGTACAATCGCATTTTATACATGCGTTTACATAGATACAATTATTATTTGTTTAATTCCACATAGTAACGAAAATGATTAAGGGTCATACTAATTTTCAACGTGATATGAAATTTTGAAGGTGTGAATATAGATCATAACGGGCTTACAGACAAGATAACATAGGATTGGAAAACAGTTACAATATATGCAAAATTATTATTTGAGAAATGATTTTAATTTCAACTTAATATTAAAGTTTGAAGGTGTCAGTATAGATTACAAGGGGCTTGGAAAGAAAATTAAACAGGATTAGAAAATAGTTTTTAACGACCAAAGATTTAAATGGGTGAGCATGGGAACAAGTTGAACGAATAATAATTTTAAAACTGAGAAAGAGGGTTCATTCTGGAGATGGAGAAAACGAAACCAAAGGAGACAAACCGAACCCTATCTATGGTCAATGCAGATGTTGGACACACAGCCCCAGTTTTCCGTGGCGGGGGCTTCTGCAGTACATAGAAGACGAAAAAACACTCACTGCCTTTGGTAAATTTTTGTTAACTTTGTAAATGACTCTGAATGATGAGTCAGTATTGATGAGGTGTTCAGTTATGACGTTCTTGATTAAACCATTGCCTCCTCTTTGCAGCTATGCTGAGTAATGTTCTCTAAAACGTTTTGATTGTACTTGCATAGAACGACTTATGTATCTGGCTCCATACGAGCAGATGAACTGATGTATGCACTTTTTAGGGGTCATATGCGGAAGATTGATTTTTGGTTGTTTGTTCAGACAGTAATTACTCTCCTTCCTGAGTTTTTATCATAATAATTATGTCACAAACCTGGTATATTATAAACACCAAGGTATGGGCCACACAAAATCTCGTGGTTTGTGCGAGGGCTGGGATGCTGTCCGGCAGCCCAGTTTGAAGCAGGTGGATTCTCCTTCGGATCGCTTTAGTTAATGTTGGTCCACAATCCAGTGGAGCAGCATTAGAAGCTATGTTCTCATGTTTGCATGTAACCGAAATAGTTTCATGTATATTGTACACCATAATTTTGGAATTAGGGTTTTCCAGCTCTTCTAGGTAGATCAGTATGTCCACATGTCTGGTTGTAAATACCACACGTTCGTATTTGCTCCTTCTTTTTATGGATAGCATCCCCACCACCTGAAGGCATTCAGTGAGACTTACTTGGCAGGAGCTGTTAACCAGTAGCCACATGAGAGCGTTTCGAGAGGAAGACCGAAGCCTACTTGCCCTCGACCTCACCAGGTCGTTTTGGGGGGCTAAGTAAGCTACCAAAATAAGTGTATACAATGATAAGTGTGCTTATAGATTATTCACTGTGACATAGTGCTTCCACACACTTTTATACACCTTCTTTGACACCCTATTCAGTGATTCCGAGACAGAGTGAGAGGAAAAGAGGAATTATATTTATTGCCATCGAAAGTCGGAAAATGTTTCATTCTTGACTTCCCTAAGTGGACACGTAAACATATGTAGAACAAAGAAATGCCATGATATCGGCTTATTTTATTGGAGGTGATTAAAGCAGCGCCTGCTGAAGTGACGGGATTATGTATTGTTTGTCTGAATACTGCAACTGACCGAAAACATTTTCTCATTTCCAGTAACTATACGACTGAGTCTTTTTATGTGTTTTTTCGAAACTGCTGTTGTCAGTGATAAGCTGGATACAACTTCTGAGCATTATTCACACAAATATTGATAGTGTTGTGGAAGAAGTTTACATTTGATTCAAGCATTGTGTTAATTAATTATTCTCGTCTCCTCTGGATTCAAAACTAGGAAAGAATACAAAGTGTAAGATAGTGAGAGTGGGGTTTTAATTCTCCATTTTATTGGTGATGTTAACGTCAATGTATTTTGCTAAACAAAAAATGAATTTCGGGATTTCATCATGAATTGACATCGGTCAGAAAACCATGGGGAGTACTGGACAGCTTTTCCTTAGTAGTTTGGAACTCTCCTGCAGTACATACCCGCTGGGGTTTGAACCCATGACATCCGGTTACAAGGTGAGATCATGGACTATCGAGTCACTGCAACCCAATCCAATGGTTAGCTCATAAATTCCAACTTCTGCCAATTCGCGATATAGCGTAACTGTCACTAGTCAGTGTCATCGGTGGTGAGTATTTGTCTTGAAACCTAACCTGCTGTACCCTATTGGTCATGACTTCTCCATTTAGATCAACTAGCTGTCATGTCATTGGCTGATAATATAAATCTTTTTCCACACAAGTAGTAAGCTTATGACTGATAGAACAAAATCTATTTAGAGTAGATAACGGAATAGTATCAGATGTTTCTATTTTGTGGTCTTCATCCAAATTCGAATATATATATCTTTAGGCACAGTCACAGTTTTATTTTTCATATTAGATAAGTTTATTTTAAATATCACACAAAATGATTCAGTATTAACAACTGGATGACATGGTTTTGAGCATAAATTATTGCCACTCATAATGAAATGAATTTAGTCATACGGTTTCACACTTGGTATTATATATATATTATTTTCTTTCTTTCTGTTTCTCCAACTTCCCCTTGTTGTTTGTTGCCACTTTGCATATCTCCGCCATAGGCGTTGCGTCATTCAACATTCAACGTCACACACGTGTAGTGGCAATGACTCAGAATATTCTGTTTAGACCTGTACTTTCATCAATGATGACGAATATATCATCCATGAACTTAGTGTAAGATTTGAAACAGTTTGATTGTGTTTTGAGAATGTTGAACTTAAGATGATACATGAAGCAGCTTAACAAGATTTATTCACCAAATTTGATACAAATATTTACCGATTCATCATCTATATGTCTATAAACAATTTCCCTTCAAGGGCTGTTGGATTCCTGTAAGTAACAGCAAATGCATAAGGATTGTATTTTAAATCCATTTTTGACAGTATGCAAAACCGGTTTTTAAGTCAGTGACAAATTTCGCAAGTAACATAACTTGAACTGGAAACATTTATTCCCCGATACGAATTTAAAACAAGCAATAAAGGTTAGTAAAGCAGGATTTAACCGGTACCTTGCAGCAGCATATACAAGAAACGGATCTATACCTAAGATTTGTTGATGACATTTTTTGTGGAAGCAGATCAAAAGCCGAAGACATGTTGATAAAATTCAACTCATGCCATCCAAATCTCAATTTCACAGTAGAACACGAGGTAAACGATACTATTAAATTCCTAGACGTTTTTCTGGCGAAAATGAATAATGGCACAATCGAAAGATCTATATTTAGAAAGTCTTCATGGACAGGACGGTACATGCATTTCGAGAGTTTCGTTCCAATCCAGTATAAAAAGAACTTAGTCAGAACACTGTTCAATAGAGCACGAAAAATTTGTTTTGACAGTACTGTTGAGTATGAAATAAAATCCCTGAAGGATATCTTATCTAAGAATGGATATCCTGATTTCATTAATAATTACTCTAAAGAAAATAGCCCCTACAAAACAATCCAAATAGTTCTGAAGAAACCTGTCTATATCGGTTTGCCGTTCAAAGATGATGTACAGGAAGTAGTCAAACGAAGACAGACAGAGAACTTATTATGCTGCAAAACTTGTTTTCCTTAACACCATTAAGCGAGTGCTTCAACAATCTGGGAAAGACTAGTCGCCAATCCTCGACACTTCAAACTGCGTATATCAATTTGAGTGTGTTTGTGGAAGCAAATACATGGGTCGTACGGAAAGGAGATTATCTACACGCATGATGGAGCATTTGGCAAAATGGTTGAAAACAGATGAGTGCAAAGTGCCAAAATCCTCAATAACAAAGCATCTTGTGGATTACGGACATGATATCGACGCCGTCAAGTCTTTCACTATTGTCAGCAGACAAAGAAACAAGAAGATGCTTGCAATTGCAGAGGCTTGTGCAATTCGAGTTTACAAACCAGGTCTCTGTGTACAAAAGGAGATGGTCATGACTCTGAATCTACCATGGTAATACGTTTTACTTATAATTCTACCTCTTATTATTATTTTTATTGTTATTATTCTTGATTCATTTAAAACTATCCTCTATCAGGAAGATTATCTTAATTCACTTCAACACTATTATTATTATTGTTATTATAACTAATAATATTGATATTACTCTGTTTGCAATTCTTGTTATATTCTCTAATGTCTAATTGTTTATCTAAGTAATGTAAATGAAGCGTAATGCAATTTATCTCAATTTTGATCTCCCATACTCTATCTCCCCTTATCTATTTGAACATGACCTGGAAAAACATTCGCACCTGTCTTTCTGCATGACTAATTCAATGTAGTTTGTTTCCTTATCAGTCTTATATCTCCCAATTTAATTTCAAAAGTATATATATCCCTGTATGTAGAGTATTCAGCTGACGAGTTCTACCGAAATTTGATGAATTCATTAAATCCTGCTTTATTAACCTTTATTGCTTGTTTTAAACATAACTTGAGTTAGACATTTAAAACATGAAAATGTGTTCATTATTACGAGTTTGGAAAATTTAAGTGACTGATTGATAAGAAATTCATTGATTTATGTTACTTGCGTACGGGCCGCAGTGAAATAGAAATCGTTCACAAATTAATCACACAAAATTTGTGGTATTCTAAGGATATTGATGCTATCTTAATTTTACACTTTATCACAGACGCAGTCTTACGAGAGGCATGTAAGTAATACCGTAAATTGTGTTATTCGTAGAGTTATTGAACAAACAGCCATAATGCGTCGAATGCAGGTTCGACTGAAAACTGTTTGTATGCAGAAGAATGTGGTTAGTAGTAACACTGAAATACGCCTAGATGTGAAAAACCATAAATCTTTGTGACAGTTTGGTGTGGATATGTATGTCTAAATAGGTGACTACTCAGTTGATATAATGATTTTTGAAACTGACTGATCAGAATGCGTACTCTAGTAATAACTAACCAAGATGAAAGGACTATACCATCCTGAGAAGGATTTTGAAGGTAGTCAGTAGAATTAGTGGTGTAAATCTCAGTCAGCTCGTCACTACTTTAGTTGATAAGCATCTGAATACATGCGAAAAATGGCCGAAAACCATACTCTCAGACCCCCAACACTCCCTCTATTCCCAACTCTCGCCTTGTATCTCATCAAGTAAAACCAGAAATCAGTATAAAATAATCTATGCTCGTACAACCAAGTACAGGAACTGAACGATACCATACTTGGCCCGTGTTCTAAGCGACAGAGACAATGTTAAGTGTGAAACCTATGACTTGCTTTGCTATTGATAAGATAATATTAGGCTCTTTTATTTCTCTATTACTTTGTATTCTGTAGTGAACTCCTTCTTCAAACATACTTAGCTACCTAAAACATTACCATTGGCTTCCTTTTTTATACTTTACTATATTCCTTCTATTGTGTATCTACTGATTCCGACTCTTTTAGCACTATGAGTATTACAAAATTGTCCTGTCATTAACCATCATGTAATTATTAGTTTTGTGATTGTTTTTTCTTATTTTCTATACTTTTTGGCAATATTAAACTGACAATCATTGGTTGTGAACGCCATTGTCACCACCTTAAAAAATTTTGTATTATTCAGGATTACTCACACTACCACCACAAACACTGCATTAGACCTTCGTAGACTTTGGTACTTTTCGCATTTATAATTATTTTGTGTTTATCCTGTTTTGTTTTGCTGTTGGTGTCTTCAGATTTATTTTTTTTGTTAGTTTAATACTTATTTTAAATGTCGGTGAAATTAGATGCAAATATTGTAGATATGTGCTGAAAATTCCACACTGTGCCACTAGTACTGTTTCTGGAATAAAGCAAATTATTATTATTATACATTGTGACAAGCAACGAGATAGAAATCGTCACGTCCAGTAAGAAGGAGTGTTGTTAACACATTTATCTAAGGAAACTGACTACAAAATGTAAAGTAGGGTAACATCTGTGATACAAGAAATTTTACAAAGTGTGTTGTTGTGATGACAATTTGTGGTGGCCTGCCTACGCTTCTGGCTTACTTGAATTTCGATCCAAAACAATCCATCAGAAATTCTCTAATTCCTATTGTTTAAGCCATCCTTTTGTTCTTGGGTCACATAATGAATTCATATTTATTTGAACGGTTCACGTTTCTTGGAGACGAAGGAAGAATGCGACAAGATGCTTCGGATCGAACATATTGCGTTACATGATGTGCTACAGATTGCTATTTTTCTTGATGATCATTGGTGAGGAGGAAATATTATACATTATATTACTCTGTGAATTGTGAACACTGTGTAAAGATGTTATTCAGCTGTTATTATTCTTCTTCTTAAATTTCATACCTCTCTTTCTTATACCAATGATTCATTCACAAACGTCCACCATATTGTAATTAACGCTTCGTGTTCCAGGTGAAGTACGGAGTTCCAATAGCTCGTCTTCATTTCATTACGTTCTCTGGAGACCCCTTCAACTGGCTCACATTCAGTCTTCGACGACCAACTCTTCGTGTCCTATTGGCTCTTCACTCGATGGCCTGACGCATGATGCCACTCAGCTGTTACATCAATGTGTGTGTGTCTGCATCATCTACATTTCCGTCGACATATTTCAGGGGAATAGTTTCTTAGTTGAATCCTTTCTTGTTAGAACGCCTTTTTGCTAATCCTTTCTAGTCGAACATCTAATTTTAGGTACAGGTTGAAGATAGTTTTTAAGAGAAGTATGAAACCAGTTCTGACGTCTCCAGATGACATGTCAAGTCTCAAAACCACCTGAAAGCACTGACTAACTTCACATCTTGTTCTTCATACTTAATGCAGTGGATTTTAGGAAACAAATAAAAAAGACGGTTACTGCAAAGATCTAATGTTGTATTTATTCTGCAACAGATTTCCAGACTGATTTCAGATTACTAAGGGTTTGCGTTGTCATTCCGATCCAGGATTTGACATCTTCATCCAATGCATCCGATTAACCTTCAGAATTTTCTCTATTTAAAAGATTTGATATCATTGTGAACTTTATTAACAACATTTTTTATGCAAACACTTTCAATTTCCTTTCCATGTAGATTGATTTACATTTTACAACAGTAAGAAAACAAACCTCAGTTTTTATTTGTTCACATAAATGAATAAAAGATATACCGGAATGATAAAAAACACTTTCACTTACTCAGTTAATTGAGTTAATCGGTTTGCTGAATTACATCAAGTTATATGTTCTTTGTTTGTATGAGAGAGAGAGAGGAAGAAATAAGAGTCTAATTGGTGGATAGTGACTTGCAGTGGCATTCAGGATGCACATTTCGTCCTATTTAGGACTCGTAATCTGGAACTACCTGCATTTCTCAATGAGTAATGTTCCTACCGATGCTGGAACCCAGTGCCCAAAGTTTCAAATGCCGAAGCGTTATCCACTAGACCACTTTGACCACGAGAGTCACCTCTTGTGCAGTGGGTCATGTCGTTTTAATTGAATTTTAGATTTTCCCGTCGATTGATTAGATCGAATCCTCGGTCTCAAGTTGACATGTCGGCTTCTTGCGCATCCTGGATTACACTGCTAGGCACCATCCACCAATTAAATTTTAATTAAATGCCCAGTCACCGTCGAACCATCTGCAAAAAAAGCCGACATGTCAACCTGAGACCGAGGACTTCGATCCAGTCAATCCACGGAAAAAATCTAAAATTCAATTAAAAAATGAAATAAGAGTCTGTTTCCAAATACGTTTACTCAAGTCGACGTGCATATATATTGTCTCTACAGGCCTCACACAGATGAAATGAGAATTTAAGCGGGAAAAACGACCTGTTGATGAAATCGATTGTTTCATAAGCAAAAGCACAATACATTTTTCACATATTCTTCAATCTCACTAGCTGGTTCTCGTAATTTGACTGGATGAAATATCAACTGGAAGAATTTCATGGTGAACATTCTTCATATTTATGCGTGAAATTTAATTGAGCATCAAGTATTTTAGTTTAGTAAACAAAAATTTGATCCATCATCTGATCAGAACACTTTTAAGAATTCCGATAAGTTTGAATTATTAAGACAAGCTGGTGTCCTGAACAACTATTACATTATGTAAAGGATTCATGACTATAGACATTTAAAAAAAATTGTATTTGTAAAATCTCAGCGAGACTGAAATGAGTAATTCCAACGTTTCGTTCGGCAATCTGGTCCGAACTTCTTCAGGGAAATTAATCGAAATTAACATAACAGAGATTTATATATAAAAGGAACATCACTTGTTTTTAAAAACTTTGTCCAATCATGAGCCATTCGAAAAGTATCAACAAGTATAGTAAACAAAATTTTATGAGCTGTGGTCAAAATTTGACCCCGGACTTACAAATATTGGTCTATTTTTGTTAAACACTTTAAACAGAGTGTGTATATGTGTGTGGGTAAACAGTTGTAAAACATTTCTTAACGTCTCCATAAGAAGATATGGACAGTCGAGAATTTTGACGAAGTATTAATAATTAGTGATACATATCCATTTTTTCTTTATTAATAAGAATTTCCTATGCATCAGCTTACATCACGTCTTCATGTCTGTTCACACTGTTAGTATCTAGAAATTTATGATTAGACTTTTTTCAAAATTATGGTGTTTAGGATTAGCGTTTAGTAGAAGCACCCTGTCGAACTTATTGCATTGTCTTCTTTCTGAAGATTGAGCTGCTTTATTCGACCTACTGGGGTTGTCATGTGACTCGACAGCTACGGATTTAGAATATGCATTCTGTTCACTATTATGAAGAAATTTGAATAAGGCAAATCTAAGAAATGTCGTGATGAATAGTGAAAAACAGCATCCGTCCATAAAGATCACTGAAGTCCAATACCTGAGAACTGATCTGGCGCTCACTAGCGACTGGCCCTATTCAGGCAGTTACCTGGGTTTCTGGTGGGAAGCCGTGACTAGTAGGGCACAACAGGTCGAAGGTAAGGACAGTTAGTCATCGAAGACATTGAGAAATGATCGCGCTTTTTCGTGAATTTGCAGACGTTAGAATTCATGAAACACTATAGTGAAGACATGTGGATATAGGAAAGTCTATTAAATGTCATGGTGATTAGCAATACACAACATCGAGTAACAGAAACCTTTCTATGCAAATACACATATTTTCATAGGCATTATTGAAGCCAACTTTCATCCATTTCAAACACTTTAATATCAGACTAGAAAGTAAGTGTAAAAGTTTTTAAGTCAGCAAATCTTCTGGGTTTGAAAAAATGCGGATACATGACAGAGGCGCTTACACATGCAATATAAACGATAACCCCTTGAAACATCTTTCTCGAAATATACTGCTGACAAGAATGCTGGGAATTTTCAAAGTAAACTTGCTGATTCGTGATTGTGACGAGATATTTGAGTTGAGTGAATTTTAGTTTAATGCATGAAAAAATTACTTCAGCTTATATACACCACAGTTCATGATGAAAGAAGCGAACATAGTAGTTATACCAGTCAATTTATCCTACAGTGACTCCAGTGTCTTCAAAACCACTAACACTTTGCAAATCAGAACCAGCCTAAATTAAATTCCATTTCCACATGGATTATCAATTCCAGGAGAGAGGTATGTCTGTTGATAATGATATAATTCAGATAGTTAAAGCTCACGGGGTATTTTTTATTACAGATCTGTTATCTGGAAGTATAATATGTTCACAATAAAATGTCAATCTGGATTAGCTGTTTCTGTCCTGTGAGAATAATTCGTTTCTCTTGTGCAAAATGCAAGACACAATCACGAGTTATAATTTGTGGCAATTAATAGTGAGATAGGGTTTAGAAACAAGTGGTGTTTGAATTCAGGACATTGTTAATGACATTCACTGAGAGTGTTTGAATATTACAGGAAATAATTCTTTGATTTCGCCTTTTGGTAGCATAATGTTTGATCAGAGAAGAACCTGACGTTCATTCAAGAAAACTGCTGTAACTTGACGAGTTTAAATACTGTCTCACAGCCTTACCAGTGTCAATAACATAATCACGTAGTTGCCATTTGTACTTACCATTTTTTCGGTATGCTTCCTAGTCAGGACTGGTTTACTTCAGCCTGAATTCAGATAGTGGCTTGAATTCACATCAACAACTGATTCACTGTTATGGGATATCGAAAAACAGAACAGTCATACCTCTGAAACAGTTTGAATCGATGTTTGAATATTTTCAGTGAAGATATTGGCAATTAGGAATTAGAGTCTGCTCGTACGACTGGTCATCATGTTTCTGCATAATCTTTAATACACAACCGTGATTAAACAATCAATGTTCTCTTTCAATTTGCATTCTACAGTTGTATCGCGAAATTCGTCGAGTAAGTAGACAATTAAACTAGAGAAGTAATATTGAATAATAAATTCGAAAGTGGAAAGTTGCATCTGGGCCACATGTTCCTTTTGAATTCATCTCATTAGCTGAGTGACTTAAACGGAAAAAATCATTCAAAACGGATGACGATTCACTCATAGAGTTTCATTGTATGCTGGAAGCTCCGGAGTATAGGAAAACATAATCGTATTGCTAGCACATTGAATTGTGAACTTGGAGGCTCCATTGGTCTAAGCTGTGCTTCCCTAGAACTGAAACTCAAAGTTGTTACGAGTTCTAAAATGAAGGAATTCAGATCTGAAATATACGTGTACCGTGTCGACATGCCTTGATTTACAGGAGGCAAATCTTCACTAGAACTGGAAAGTTACTTATTCACTCATAGTACGCTTTTGAACATTTTTTGAAAAATGACCTCAAATGCTTGATCAAAAGATGGAAATACTCTAGAGTGAGTAGTATCAACACACCATGAATTTTTTAACCTCTGTAAGTGAATAGAAACCAGTGGGCAGAATATAAAATCTAAATAATTCATACCAAATATCGACTCATTACATCTGAAACGTTTAACCAATAAATTTTTGAGTTCGCATCAATGTATTAATTTCATTATCTTGAGTTCATAACTGAATATATGTCTTCAGCGACACAGCAACATTTCACCCTGTTCTCCGAAGTCTACTTCGTATCACTATCAGACATTTAACTCCCCATTTGCCGTTCTGATTTCATTTGACGGTAGGCTTTACGCTCGATTCCTATCAACGGTTTCCTCAGAATGCATGCGATCCACTGGCATATTTGTCTTTTCATAGGTTATTCGTTAGTTCATCGGCTACGACAGTTCCTCGTTGCTTATCGATGTAAACCCCTGTGACATTCAGTCGATAATCCGAAGCAATATGTTCTAATTATTTCTGTGATTGTTTATCGAATTGCATGAATGAATCGACAGGAAATGAGATTACACTGACACTGGATAGAATGATTCAATATACACACAGTATTCATCACTCTCATGATTGAGAGACTACTTAGCGAACTATATCAACATCCTCTGTATCCACAACAATGTTGAAGTGAATACGAATCATTGAAGAGGCATTAGCACTGAGACTACGACGGTCAACACTAATTATTCCTGTGTTCACTTATCGAATTGGGGGAAGAGATACAGAATACACGTTTGAAATAAAATATTCCATTTTTCTCAATTTGTTACTGTGTATTTTATTTTACAGCTACTTCCCAGTGTCGACTCCATACGTCTAATTCAGGCATGTATTCAAAGACGTGTGAGATGAGAAAAGGCTTATGTGCCTAAATATTCAGTTGAAATTTCTCATTCATTATTATTTGAGTTTTCTTTGTCAAAAGACTATATTTTAAATTGTCATTTGTGTAACTGGTAAATATATGTGATATTAAACAATGCTGACTACATTCTGTCTCAGGAAAGTTTCGAAATACATAAAGCGGTTTAACATATGTGTTGAAAACAAAGTTATGTTTATTTATCAAGAGGTTGATGTAGAATAGAGTTGATTGGCTGTAATACCTTAAACATAAAACGCAAATATCTTCCCTCAATTCTTAATGGAATTAGATGGAGAGCTTGTTCGACTATTCAGACTCTGGACCTTTTTCCAGCTGCCTACATCCTTGCAACATGTTGCTAATTCGTCTACACAGAGAAACTTTGAAGCAGTCATAAGAGATGTA